ACCTGTGAAATGTAAAACTTGAGATATTTTGTTATTGCCTATTGCCCAACATTGTTTTTTGTGTGTCAATGATGGACCATGAGTCTGTAATAAAGGCTTATTATTCATTCATTAATACTTTCACATACACATTATACCAACTTCTTCTTAAAGACACATTTGCATTTGTCTTTGTCAACAGAGTGGTAAAATATGTGGAGAGGCTCTTCAAAGGGCCTTTTCAGAGTGGAGCTATGCACAGTACCTCATAGATGTTGTACTTGATGTGCCTCTATTTAAATGTCCAGCCTGCACACCATCAGTGTTGGCTGTTGCAGTTGATACCGATTCAAGGGCCAATCTTCCTCTGTGTAAGCATTGAAAAAAATACAGCATTAGATGTCATGGTTTGGAACTCTCTGCCCCTATCTGTATATTTTTCTTCTCAGGCAAAGCGGTCTCTATGATGGTGTCTTCCTGGCTAAGGATGAGGATGTGGCTTCATTTGTGGACCAGGTGCATGCTGCAACAAGACATGTATGTTGTCATTATTCTTGCATTCCAATAAAATGTATAGCATGTATACTTCTTATAATGATTATAATAATGACTATTATCTCCAGTATAGTGCAAAGGGAAGATGTGGCTCGAGCCAATGGTCAGCCGCCAGAGAAACATGTAGAAAGAGCTCATCCAAAATTGATGAAGAAGGCATGGAGGTCGCTGTTTGCCGCCATGGCTTTCTTTTACGTGGGCTCAATATGTTTAGGGGAGAAATATTTGCATATCCCCTCTTTTTACAAAAAGAACTTCCAGATGCCAAGTTCTTCTGTATGGATGTAATTTGCAAATATTGGCCTTATTTGAAAAGGGTGGTCCAGCACTGTCCAGAGTTGGACAACCTTACCAACATGCGACCTTTCCTATCGATTATGCATGCAAAGGCACATTCATGGATGTGTGAGGTAATTTGAATTAAGCCTACATTCAAAACATCTATATTTAAACTAAATGTATTATGGTTTTTTCAGCTTGAGTGGGGTGGTCGCAATCAAGCTGGAGCTGGGGCAACAATCGGAGAGGAAGTGGAGCAGGTCAATAGCTTCTTATCACGTGCAGCTCTTTGTACCAAGTACATGAGCAAAGCAGGTAACATCTTTCCTTTGTTAATACCAAATATCTTTTTTTTAACATTTCATGCATTTCCTTAAGCCCGCACTGATATGCTCACTGTCCATGCCATTGGCTGGAACAAGAGGAAGGCAGAAAATCTTCATAAGTCTCTTGCAAAAAGATACCAAAAAGTTTGAATATTTTTTTCTATTATTAATATGAATAATAATAATGATGATAAAGACAACTATGAATTCTCATAGACATCACTCAGGAAAAAGGAAACTTCTGTGGATCTCAGCAAGCTGGCTCATGAATGTGGTCTAACTGAAGAAACTATAGCCCAATGGGTATCTGACGTCCAGCAGTGGAGTACAGGTAAAATACATTTTCAATGAATATGCTTGTTTCTTCTTTTAGTCTGATGTTTTTCATTATTTCTAACATCTCAAAGAGGCAAGTTCATGCCCCAACAAGCTTCAATCCACCATTGAGGCACTGTATCTCAGCATCAAGCAGAGAAAATATTATTTATATCGCCAGAGCAGTAAGATGGCTATTTGCAAACTAGCTATTCGCTTTGTGTGAAGGTATCCATTGTAAATGAAGATTTTTTTTCTAGCTGGAAACAAAGGCCGTCAGAAACAGAGGAGAAAGATTGCCCAGGAGAAGGTTCAGCTGGAGGAGGCCATTGGAGAGTATAATGGGAAAAATGAATCAACTCCTCTTCCCTCTGCAAATGAAGTTCTGGCTGAGGACCACTACTCTTGGCCCTGGGGATGTATGATATAACAAATACACATTCACTTCATGTTTTGTTGTTATGGCTACTCACTTTCTGTTTACAATGTAATTCTTCTTAGGCTCTGGATTAAGTGTCGAAAAGAAGAAGGTCTTTGACCAGGTCATGCTTCGGGACAGATTCCAGGAAGAGGAAATTATCCTTGTTCATGAGATAAAGCAGCATTGGGGTTTTATGAAAAAGGCAGCTGGCTCTCTCCGAGAGCTGCTTAATAATACAGAAGGTAATCTCTTATATTTTGTATGCAACAAATAAATAATAACTATACATATTTGTAATGTAAGGATCGCAAGGCTGTCCAGTGGATGGACATGATGGACTTCAGTCTGTTATTAAGAAAAGGCTAGACCAACTAAAGAAGCAGCAAGATGCTGCAAGAAGTTTGTACAGGAGGGTTTTGGAAGGACAGAGTGCAGAATTTGACGACGATGAGTGGATAAATAGCTCTTCATCTGAAGAGGATGAAGAGCTCGAGGGGGAGGACGAAGAGCTTGAGGGGTAGTAGAAGGTATGTATATTTACTTTTTCTTTTGAGCAATTACACTGAATATATTGAATATTGTAGTAAAACATTAAACACAAGAACAATAACAAAAGTTCAGAAATTACTTAAATAGGGGGCCAAAAAATAAATATTGTTTTATAATTTTCTCTTTTAGGTTCAGTGCGCTGACATGGAAGCCCACTTCAGAGCAGAGAAAATTATCTGAAACAAGCTGGATAGGATGCAGCTCCACCTAGCAGCTACACCACCTCTGCTGCTCCAGCAGCTACACCACCTCTACTGCTGTGATCTGTGCTGCTCCAGCAGCTACACCACCTCTGCTGCTCCAGCAGCTACACCACCTCTACTGCTGTGATCTGTGCTGCTCCAGCGGCTACATTACCTCTGCTTCTGTGACCTTTCTGTAATCTAAAAGTTTGTGTTCTATAGTTTGGTTGTGAGTTGTGTTAAGCATTAAAAAGTTACCTTTGTAAAACATGTATTCATACCTACTGCGCCGTCTTGATAATGTACACTGCATCATATACAGTATAAAACCATTTTTGATCATAACCTTGGAGGTTCTGTAGACTTGCTGTTACCCTGACACTCCACTAGGTGGGGTCCTGCACAAAATTTACAAAAAGGTATTTACGTAATTTTTCTCAAATAATACTTTACTTCCTCCATAACCGCTTTGGCCATAATATCGACTTAAACCTGTTTAAAGAATGTGGAAATATTCTTATCAGTTTAAAAACACATCAATTAATCTTGTAAGGTTTTTATTTTAATTATACAGACAGACACATGATCCCAACGTCATTTTCGTCGCAACGGACGTGTCGTCATGGCAACGCGGTGAACGCTGTGATCACTGAGCGATATTCAACAATAACTATTTTCAGGGACACAAAAAGATCCCTAATCCTAAGAATAATCACTGTTGTCGGTGATATTATGACAAATGTTGGTCATGTTTTCAAGTTTGTGACTTCCTGTTACTTACGTGGCAATAAAAATGATTCTGATTCTGATGTTTTAATTCCCACCCTCACAGGAAATGGTGTAGTTACGTGACTCCCATAGAATATTATAAAACAAATCTGTAAGAGTACCACAGTTACAGTGCACTGTGGTATTCTTACAGCTTGGGGATGGACCAATGAGGAGCGACGCCGGCATCAGAACTGTAACAATAGCACATTTTCAGACGGAACGGATCAATCAAAATTGATGATTTACGTGATTTTCAATGTATACGATTGAAGGTAACCACGCACGAGCATTCTGTACAAGGGTAGTCAAATGGTCAAATTTGAAATCACAATTGTTTTTGAGGGGCGAAGATCTACGTGTTATTATGGCGAACTGTAACAATAACACATATTTTTAAGGGACCAAAAAAAAGATCGCTCAATTTCGTAAATGAAGCCATTAGGGACCATTTTATTTAAAAATAACGAAATACAAGTGTATATTTCTCGCTCAAAATTGTGAAATAAGTTGACTTTAGTCTCTAAATAATGCTATAAACCGCAGTTTTGGACTATAATTATGAGAAATGTCGGCCATTTTTATTTCCTCCCTCGCAGGAAACGGTGTGGTCACGTGACTCCCGTAGAATAACATTGCAATAAAATATGTAAGAGTGCCACAGTTTCAGAGCCCAAACTGTGGTATTCTCACAGTTTAAGAGGTGGACCAATGTGACTATTACACAGTTTTCTGAGAGAGTGGGTTGCCCCCCCACACCCAGGTCAGACTTGGTGACATCCCTGATCACCTGAGGCTCTCCCCGGTTCCTCCTCAGTGTCCCGCACACATTGGTTTTCGCCTCCTGTAGCTGCTCACAAAGTGAAATGGAATTATAAAAATTGTCCATAAACAATGTATGTCCAGCACCTGGGAGACGATCAAGGAGGGAAAAAACAATTTCGGGCAGGGTACGTGGTTCCCCAACATAAGGCTGCAGGTTAAAGCAGTACCCAGAGGCCGAGTCACACAGGACATATGATTTTATGCCATATTTGACTGGCTTCTGGGGGTTGTAGACTTTAAAGGACAGCCGTCCTCGCCACTGCATCATCCCCTCGTCAATGCAGATGTTCTGCCCAGGTTGGAACATGTCCTTGAACTTTTGGACAAGGTAGTCCAAGACAGGGCGAACCTTGAACATCTTGTCCATAGCATCAACAGACATGTTATTGTTATAGTGGAGGAACCTCAATATTATTTGGAACCTGTTCCTGGACATGGTCTGATTGAAATATGGTGTCGCCTCCATCTCGTTGACACTCCAGTACATCGGCAGGCGTGGTTTTTTTATGTACCCGGTCAAAAAGCTAAGTCCAAAGAATTTTTTCAACTCAGGGATGGACACCGGTTTCCACACATGCCCTCTGCTGTGTGGCACAATCTCTGAGTGTGCCTGAAAATATTGCTCGGCATACAGATTTGTCTGCTGAACAATATGACGGAGCAGCTCATCTGTAATGAACAGCTCCAGGAAGTCAGCCGGCAGCGAAGAATCCAGCTCTGCAGCAGCATTCCCGGGGTCCAGGTGTGGAGGTGAAGGGGAAAACCTTTGGTCTCCAGTCATCCCTAGACCAGCTGCCATCTTTACTCTTTGTAACTGTAATACATTATTGAAATATATACAAAGAATGAACATAAATATTGTTTGAGTGCTTTGATGTGATGTGCAGAAAGACATTTTTACCTTTTCTCTTCTTCACACCAACTGAACTGGCAGATGTGACACTGGCAGTGACACTGCTCGATGTAGAGGCTGTAAAATACAATATGATACCTTTATTATGGCTTTAGATAAGATGGAAAGATTAAAATATATATGCATCCACGTATATACTATACATATTGTATACATTACACATATTTTATAGATTATACACATTACAGATATTACACATATTTATGTATATTTATATATATTATATGTATATATTACCTGTTCTATCAACAGCAGGGTTCCTGGGTGTGGCTGCTTTCCTTGATCCACAATCTGTAAATATAAAATAATCATAAGAAATGCAAAATTATAGATACAATTATCATAAATATACAATAAATATACAATTATCATTAGAAATGCAAAATTATATTATGTTATACTCTCTCATGTTATTTGTCTGCATTACCTTCTCTGGCGGTGGTTCTGCTTGACGCGCGAGTAAAAGCGTCAGGGGAGGACTCTCTGCTGCTTGCAGACCCAGATGGGAGCCACTCTGACGAAGAATCCGGGTCTGGCTCAGTGAATTCTTCCGAACTGCTCTCATCCTCATCTCGCCTTGCCAAAACACGGCCTCTCCTTCCAGGTGCAGGCTGCGCGCTAGCATGCGCAGTAGCAGCAGGAGCGCACTTTTTAGCAGCTTTTTTGGGCTGCCGCGATCCCCCCTCTCCACTATCAGCTGTAGAAACCCTCTGCTTGGAGCCACCAAACACTTGTTCCAGCGTGAGCTGTTTGTAATGCGCTGATTTATCCATACTGATCTCTCTCTGTCTCTGTCTGTCTGCTCTACTCCACCATGTGCTCAGATCTCACAACAAGTGTATCCTGTTTACAAAACATCTAGACGCAGCGCTGCTGCCACCTGCTGGCTCAATAAAATAAGTTCTAATCGTAATCCCCATTCACATTAGATGTAATAGACATCTGGGAACATGAAAATAGCGAAAAAGGCATTTGACGTATTAATGCGTCATTGGCACACCACGTTACTATTTGCTTTGACGCACTTATGCGTCAATGGGACACAATGAGTTAAGCATCTTTAAACAAATGCTAAATTATAATGTATGTATTATAGCTATTTAAATTACAGATCATGAAATTCATAAACACGGGTTATCTAAAATATTTTAAAAAGGCTCGTTAAAATTTACAAGACTAGTGGAAAATGTAAGCAATAATCAACTACGCGAGCAAGAATTAATTACCATAAGTATATCTTGTATGCAATAAAACGGCTCAGTTTACTCGTGCTTCCGCAGCAGCCCTCAAACTCAACGCTAGCCTCCTGCTTCCATGACAGGCTGAACACCGCACTCACCTCAAATATCACATATAAAGCCAGCATTGGCCATTTCACATTTACGGTCCTCTTATGAGCATTTCTAAACTGTGTGCCCGCACCATGAATCTATTGGATGCTTTGGGTTAGCACTACCACATCCGAGTGGCTAACCTGGAAAAACAGAGCTACGAAAGCGGGGGTCAACTTTGCGCAATTATTGATAAATGATCTGTCAGATCAGTTATCCCCACATATCTTGATCGATTACATCGTTAAGTGTTAACCACAGCTACTCACTTCGTCTGGTTAGGGTTAACTAACAAGTTAGACGAGAGCGATGTCAAGGCTAGCGTGGCTAGTAGCCCAATGAGCGCCAGATAGCCGACGCATTGCGCCACTTTAATGCCAGTTTCAGCCCACAAGGAACAAAGAATAGTCACGCTGGCATCTTGTATGATCCATTTAAACAAGCCCACCAATTAATATCAAATGTAGTAACGTTACGTTTAGCACAGACCGTTAACAAGCTCGCTCCTTAGCTACAATAGAAAGCTAACATAAAAACGAACAAGTGACTCCCACAAACCTCTTTTATCGTGTTAATCACTGCACGGCTCGTATAGCAAAGCAGACAACACTGTAATGAGAATTAATACTTATTTATATTATAATAGTTACCTTATTTTGTTGACGCGGGCAGCCCAGATCCATGGGGCAGCCTTGCTCCGGTCCGGTTTTCAAAAGACAGATGAGTGTAAATGGAGGCGGACTTTGCCGCTGCTCTGAACCTGATTGGCTGTTAGGTCAACACAGTGATGTGTAGCTCTTGTGACGGTCTAAGTCGCTGGAAGAGCTAAAGCGGACTTAGCCTGCCACCTTGTGGCGATAAGATGTACTATTTTTCATGCAGCTGCGTGATTCCCGAGAAGCGTGAATGAAGACGACAAAACGGAATGGGACCTACTGTAAATGTACGAAAGCAACCCATCAGTCTGATCATTTAGTGTCAGTGAACACACAACACTGTCCTCTCTGCTTCTCCATAGACCTCCCAGAGACAGCAGCAGCCACTACTCATGACCCCTCTGCTTATTGACAAAAAACAATGCAGACAGTAAAGCGAAAGCGGCAATAGCGATCACAATCACTGACATGCAGATTTGCACGGGATTAGTATTATCAGAGGACGTCTGTGTTTGGACAAATACAGGAGGTAATTTGCGACAGAATTATTACTTTACGAATTATAGACATGGCGCATTCGCACGGGACTAAGATCTCAGACGGCCTCCGCGATTATCACAAATTACCAGAGGTCCACAGGTAATACCAATCCTGTCCGAATAGGGCTTTAGTTTTTACATTGTGTTTAGGTCATACAATGTTGAGAACACAAAGATAATGTGTTGTCAGGTGAATTGGTTCACCTGAGCAACCAGGTGAATCAGTTCTCCTGGTTGCTCACTTCAGGTCATTACTATTTTACGCTGTGAGACCACACAAAGGGCACCAAACCTGACTCCTGCACTTTAGATTAGATTCAATGTTATTAATATTACAAAATCAGAAAAATGCAACAAAACGCTGTTAAGAATCTAACCAGTAGTACTCCTTTAAAGTGCATCTAGTGGACTTTAACAGGGTTAGAGTTCAAGAGTGTGTCTGCTCTTTGATAAAAACCGGAGGCTCCTGTCGTGACCAGAGGGCAGAAGGCTAAAGAGTCTGTGTGCAGGATGAGAGGAGCCCTTCACGATGTTATGAGCCCGCCGCGGAGCGCGCTGGCTCTGGATGTTCTCGAGGGCAGTGAGTGGAGCCCCAATGATGCATTAGGCTGTTTTTAACCACCCGCTGTAGTTATTCCCGCTCCGCCACAGTACAGGTTCCCATACCAGGTCGTAATGCAGTTACTTTGACGGACACATCGCTAGTTTTTGTGTTGTGCCACGTTAGCTCCCTCCGCTTTACAGCAATAAACACAATAGCATCTTGCTTAAGGCTATTTCAACAACAAAAACTGCTCTTTTTGTTGTATACGACAGCTTTCAACTTGACACTGGCTGTTTCTATGGTAACCACATTCAGGGCAAGGGGACATTGAGCCTCATTCACGAACAGTTCTTAGGAACAGATTTGTACGTAAATCCTACTTACGCGGTTTTTACGAAGAAAGTGGCATTCACGAATATTTCTCGTAACCAGAATTTCTCTTGGGCAAGTACAAATCCTACGAGTCCTCAGGAGCACTCGTACGCATTCAGTGCCGACATGTTCACATGCGGGGGTTGTCCTCTTTGGTGAAGTTGAATAAAAATACAACATTCCAGTGATATGTCCGTCATATCGATGTATGTATTTATTTATTTGTAGTAATCTTTATTAGTAATCTTTATTTATATACCGCCTTTTTCACTGCAGATCTGGCCTACTTTTTAATTCATTTTGAAATGAAATGTGCCAACGCTTTATCAAATACATTGGAAATCTTGCCGTGTATTAGTGACCCCTTCCTATTTATAGGGGGCATTTCTTTATCCACGGGCCACAGAACAACGGCATATATACTGCTGCTGCAGGAGGTTACTGGGTCCGCGCTGAGTCTCTGCGCTGGTCTCTCCTATGGATCTATATGGGTCTGCGCTGGTGTCTCCCATATACGGGTCTGCACTGGTCTCTCCCATGGATCTATACGGGTCTGCACTGGTCTCTCCCATATACGGGTCTGCACTAGTCTCTCCCATGGATCTATACTGGTCTGCACTGGTCTCTCCATACGGATCCGCGCTGGTCTCTCAAGTCTGGTCTATGCGGTCTCTCTTCGGTCCGCGCTGGTCTCTGCGCACCGGTCTCTCCAGTCAGGTCACTACAGTCTATGCGGTCTCTCCAGTCAGGTCACTACAGTCTATGCGGTCTCTCCAGTCAGGTCACTCCAGTCTATGCGGTCTCTCCTATAGGTCCGCGCTGGTTTCTGTGTGCTGGTCACTCCAGTCTCTCCTCGGGTCTGCATTGGTCTCAGCGCTGGTCCGCGCTGGATCTCCTCCCAGGGTCCAAAATATTTTGAGATTAATCTCAAAACATTTTGAGATTCATCTTTAAAATAATACATAATATATTTTTAAATTAAGCTCATAACATTTTGAGATTAATCTCATCATATTCTTAGATTAATCTCATAATTTTGCTAGTTCGACTTTATTATCATAATATTTCGACTTTTAAGTCAACATTTTATAACTTTATTCTCAGTCTGGTAAAAGAAGAAAAAAGGGTGACTTTTGCTCCGTGTAAAGGCCTGTTGCTGTTTCCTCTGCCGTCTGCACACGGCCCTGCAGTCCCTTATATGGGCATTAGTGGGCGGTTACTTATGCTAAGTACCTATGCTAATGAAGCACCTGGCACGCGCGCTCTACTTACGAGGAAATGGGATTCATCAATCTGAGAGAACAGCTGCGAACAATTCAGCGGCTTACGAGTGCGTTGATGAATCCCACGTGGGGACTTCTTAGAAATCTACTTAAGGACAACTTGAGAAGAAAGTTGAGTAGTTTCTTACGAAGTTATTCGTGAATGAGGCCCATTATTTCTCTGTTGATGTGTTGACTCAAACACAATCAGTCTTCTGCGTGCTGTTGCAGCTCTCCTTTCTTCTGCTGCTGGGTTTTCTAGTTATTATTTACATGCTCGTTGAGTGAATTGAAATAAAAGTATATTGTACTGTCAGGAATGAACCAGACAGAGACGGATCGTGGTGCGCCAAACTCTGGAAGTTTATTTTGGTTTCTCTCAAGTTCCAGTGGTTTTGGATGTTTCTTTCTCTCAGATCAAAATGGAGTCCGTACAGTTATATATAGTCATTGTTACGTCACACATCGAAAGACATACGTGTCACACAGAGACAGAGCAAATCATATTTAAAACATGGAGCCCTTGTATAGTCTTGCAATTGTTCGTAGGCCAAATAGCTATCTAATCTTCACAGTACTTGTGATAACTTTGAATCATGTAATCTGCATTATCAACAATGCAAGGCCATGTCCCGGCCTGCTTCAAATCCTCCATCATTGTCCCCGTCCACGATCCTGCCATCCCTGCTCCAGGACAAGCTCTCCCAGCTCTATGTGCCCGTTTCCACCTGCAGGTGGATCACTGACTTCCTGACAGACAGGAAGCAGCAAGTGCGTCCGGGGAAGAATGTCTCGGACTCTCGGATTATATATACAAGAGCCCCACAGGGCTGTTTTCTTTCTCCCCTGCTCTTCTCCCTGTACACCAACCACTGCACCTCCAGCCACGACTCCGTGAAGCTGCTCAAGTTCGCGGATGCA